TTTCAAACACGCTTTTTCTAAAAGCTTCAATCCGTTTGCATCATTTTGTGTCTTCACAATGCAAAATATCCTTTTAGTATCTGTCTATATTTCTGAGATGACGTATTATGTACATTATTTACATTATTCGGACCTCATCTTTGTCGCCATATTTATTACAACGTTTCGGCCGCTGTACTCTCCGGCCTTCTTCAGGTGGTTGGAATGTCGAACTGAACCCTTTATTTCGCTCACTGGGGTAGACTGTTCTAGTTCCACGTGTCATGTTTAATGGGTGTCTGTTATCAGTTATCTCCTGTTAATTTTCCCACTGAAACTTCTCCACTGCCTTAACCGGGTATTGAACTCACACTCTTTGGGTCCTGTCACTGGATCTAACCAACGCCGTTATCCACTGTGCCATGTTCTTTCGCTCTATATGTTATTGAAAAACCGCCAACAAGGAAAAGAAAAAAGAAAGGGGTGTGAATATCTGGATGCGTGTTTTTTGTCCATCATTGTTTCTTAAATGGCATGTTTTAAGGTTTCAATTACTATGAATAAAATATTTTTCTTCCATCACTCTTGGGTTTATTGGATTGTTAAAAAGTTCCCGTTTTTTTGGGGTCACCCTGTATTTTTATAGCAATTAGTGCAACGCTAAAAAGTATAAAAATACATTTTTATAAAAGAAATTGTAATGAAATTACCAGCAATACATTTACAAAAAATAACAACAATACATTTTATGAACTACAAACTATACATCTAAAAAACATACCTTTACCTGTAAGTATAAAATTATGTACAAAATATTTAGATTTCGGCATTAAATAACCCATAGAGATTGATATGCCACTAAACAAAATCAACCAACCATAACGCTATTAGTAGGCTTCAGAAAATTTATTCTTTAATCCACAGTGTATTCTGCCACTAGGATACAAAACTTAAGGTATTTTAGATTACTCTAAATTTATTCTTAAGTGCCACATAGGATTGTTAGGTTGATCCATTCGTTATTTCAAGTGATTCCTAAAAACGGAAATTACTTATGACTCAACCTAATACATCTGGAAATGATGATTGATATACAAAAGTATATATGATTTTATATATTTACTTATATACTGGAATGATTCTGATATAAAGGTGACTTTGTGGATCATAGAATGTATAAAAATGTAACAAGTAGTCATAATACTTGATTGATTAAATGGCATGCTACCTTCTTTAAAAAGAAGTTGCCATCCACAACAATCAGCGAGTGTTGCTTGATGTTTAATTAAATAAACGCTGTAAAAAAAAAACTTTCGCTCTATATGTTATTGAAAAACCGCCAACAAGGAAAAGAAAAAGAAAGGGGTGTGAATATCTGGATGGGTGTTTTTCGGGTATATATTTGAAATCATAAATTTATTTATTAAGCTGACTTTGGCTTGGCACAGGGAAATTAGAGAAAAGGTCCCAGTGATGGTCGAACTCATACAATCTTGCTAACCATTGCCCGACGAGAATCACATAAGATATTTAATAATCACATAACCACGATTTTAGGAAATTCAAAGAGGATAAAAAAAAAATAACTATATTTAATAATAATTATTTGTGAGGCGACACTTTTCACTGTCTTTCTGAGACAGGCACCTCAATATATATATATATATATATATATATATATATATATATATATATATATATATATATATATATATGGGTGTGCATGTGTGTGTGTGTGTGTGAGAGAGAGAGAGAGTGAGCAGGTAATGGATTTTAATCTGACATTACTTCTTGTTACGACCGAGAGGAAAATTTTATTTAACAAGACTTTCGATCTCTAGGCCTGTAGATATTAATTTCACTGTTTAAAAAAAAAGAAAACAAGTATGTCGACTTGATAGATACGAACCGACAGAGATAGATAGATAGATAGATAGATAGATAGATAGATAGATAGATAGATAGATAAGATATGAACAAGCTGATATAGAGAGATATAGATAGATAGATATAAACAGACTGAGATAGATAGATAGATAGATAGATAGATAGATAGATAGATAGATTCAATATTCATGTATGATAAAATGTATACGTCAATCATTTTAATGCCTTGAAAAAATATTTCAATGACTTGAAGTATTTTGATTTTTTATTATTTTTTTTCATTTGCTTTTAGTGCAAAGTATTAACTTAAGCTTCAGATATATTTTATACCCAATGAATATCTTTAGAATTTGTTAAAAATAAAAGTAAAATGGTCAGATATTTCTTTCATTTTTATTTATACACAGAGATATTGTTGTTGCTGTCATTATTATTATTATTATTATTATTATTATTATTATTATTATTATTATTAAGCCATGGCCTCCAAAAGTAATATTTTATGTCTTTACTCTTATTACGTTTTCACATGTAAATCTTTAAACATATTTTTCCTGTTATTATTTTATACTCTACCCTTTCACAGAGTCAGCCTTTTTGCCTCTTAGCTTCGTAAGCATCTTAGAAGAATCCGTCATTGTCATAATGAAGACACTGACGCCTGGTGTCGCCAATGTGAAGAAGTAATTCTCGCACAGCAAAAGTTTACAGAAAAGCATACATATTCACATAGAGTCATTTTTGTTATTGTTGTTACCCACTTAATTGAGTTTTCACAGCTATAGTAACGTGTGGTTAATATTGAAAATTAAATGACCAGTAGTCTCTTCATTACCTAACACTTTCATTTTATAACTTTTTTTTATTAGATTCACATTTTATCGATTTTTTCACCCCAATCAAGGCGGAAATTCCACTAGTGCGCAGGGGATTACAGAGAGTAAAAGGGAGAGAAAAGACTGAATATAGGCAGGAATGGGGAAAGGACAAAAGATGAAAGGGATTCAAGAAGATAGAAGACGGCGATTGACATTGCATTCACATTTTTGAAAATTGTAGTTATCAGGGAAGCAAATAAACGAAAGGGAGTTCCACAGGCGGGAAGTGTGAGAAAAGAAACTGCTGGAGTAGAAATGGCGGTTGCATTTAACTATTTCAACAGTAAAAGGCTGAGACATAGATGCCAATTTAGTAGCTCGCTTAAATTCGTAAATGTAGTCGGGGCATCAGGGGAAAAAAAAGCTCGTCAGGACAGTTGCCATGAAAAGATTTGAAGAAAAGACAGAGGGAAGCCACGTCACGTCCGTGAGAATGTAACTGAAGTCGAAATGCCAAGTCAGGATTGATTACATTGCAAATCCTTCTTTGGATTTTGTCAAGAACCTTGAGATAAATAGCAGGACCACCAGATAAGAAATTGCAACAGTATTCAATGCATGGACGAATGGTAGATTTGTAAATGTGCAAGATGGACACTGACAAGAAAATATTTCTGGCACAACACATTGACCCAAATTTCCTTACAGTAGTCGCTCCACTTCAAGGCAGTTGAAAAACGTGAAACAAAGAAAGCGCAGTATGTTGCTCTCCAAGAGTCTTGCGTTAGCCACGCTGATGGCAGGCAGAAAAGGTTCTCTATGGTGGTTAAATGAGAGAAGTTTTGTTTTTGGATTGGTTTGATTTCGTTTACTCCCTCTAAATCACCGTGAATCGACGAAAACAAAAACTGTTCAACATCTTAATTGTTTACATAATTTACATTCGGTAGCTAATGTCCACATCTTTGTTGTTATTATCACAACGTATTGATCGTATCTGTCGATCGGGGACACCCTTTCAGGGAATGTCGAACTGAACACTTTATATAATCTTCGTAGGTTGATTGTTCTCATTTTGTTGATCATGTCTAGTAATATCTCATCTAGGCTAGTGTCCTGTACGCCATTTCTAGACCTATAAGACTTGAAGCTTTAAATCTAATCTTCTCCGGTTGCTGTTGCTGTCACGCTTGACCTCCATCCCCGCCACTTCTCTTTTCTTACTGATGTTACTGAAAATTTGCTATCACTTCGCTTTCTTTATTTATTAATCGCTCCCAAACTGTATTTGTTTCTATACAAGGCCTAATCAGCAGGTCCACATAGCCTAGTATATGCGCTAATTCCCTCAGACGTAAAGTGTTGGTTCGTGAATTTGGTAACTGTTGTGGTAGGATCGACCTAATTTGCATAGTGGAGTACCGACCATATAAATATAGTTGGTACCGGGAAGAGAGTGGGAGGAATCAAGAGATTCAATCCAGAGACTCTGCCCGACTGCGACTAAGTCAACACATTCTCCAGGAACGGTCTTCCCAGGAATATACAAAAGACTATATGTAAATATTGTGTACACTTTCTTGTTTCAATACATTTTGTTCTAAGTACATTTTGTGTTGTATTATTATTCCATGCATTAGTCAAGTTTCAACAGTAACAGTAATTGCAAGTTCAATCCCTGGGCGGATAGAACTAGACCCAAATGCAAAGAGGACGATCAACAATAAGCAATACGAGACGGAGATAACTCTTGATATTGGCAACGGAATTAGAACAATCTACTCTCGCAGATTGATTTGTTTGTTTAACGGCATACCAACACCTTATGGATCATTTAATGCCGAAATTTAATTTTCATGGGAGCTTTGAAGTAATAAAAGCATGATATATATTATTCTGCTTTCACAATTGATTACATGGCGTTTGTGCATATTCATGTTTGTGTGGACATAATTACTAGAGGCGGTGATATGCGTGTTTCATGTTGGAGTTTCGTTGAAATTATAGTTTTGAATACAGTTTGATTCTTTAAGAAATTGTCAGATATTATGTGGATTAATGTTATGAAAGAATTCTTTCCTGTTGGTTCTTTGGTTAGTTGTTTCGCGGGATATCCAGGCACTTGATGTAGGCCTCCATGTTAAGTCTGAGGCCCTCACCAATAAATTCTGGGGTTGTTATCAGAACGATCAGTGAGCTTTTCAAGCTGTCGTACCTTCGTTATCACCATTAGACTCATCCAACTCTTTCCGAATGCTCTGCACTCTCCTCAGATTGATACCCGAACACCATGAAATGTTGGTATTGGTGCATCAGATGCGGATGCCAGGTAGTACAGCATGCAATTTCCAAATTTCTGGCAGAGTGAATTACGTCATGGTGCTCTTTCTCTCACAGATAGTACGCAAATGACCCTATGATACTGTGCAGTCGACAAAATCAAAATCAACCAAAAAAATATAAAATGGCGATAGTTTATCCATCGCACCCTGTATTGCAGTCTGCTCCTTATCTATCTATCTATCTATCTATCTATCTATCTATTTCAGTCTGTTCGTATCTATCTCTCTTTATCTCTATTTATCTATATATTTATTGCAGTCGGTTCCTTATCTATCTATCAATCTGCTCATTATCTATCTCAGTCTTCATATGTGTTTATTCTTCTCGGTTTTTTATAGGTTATTTAATGCAGAAATCCAAATATTTTAAACGCAATTTCATGCCTTCAACTAAATATATTTTGAACGCTATTGTATCCTTTCAACTACAGATAAAACGTAGCGATGATTATTTTGCTTTAAAAATATATTGTTGGTCATTTTACTATAAATATGTATTGTTAGTCCTTTTTTATGTAAAATGTATTGTTAGTATTTTTATTATGAAGGTTTATTTTTATACTTTCATAGTGTTTTGTTTGGAGGTTCATTATTTGGCCATAGTCAGGACCCCCCGAACAGGTGCTACCACTCGGGGTCAGGGTAGACCTGAGAACAACAGCAATTAAGTAGTAGTTCCACGCTCCTCAAGCCCTCTAATCTCCCAAACAGTTGCCTTGGATTTAAGTAATTCCTAGAAAATTAATTGACGGACACCTGAAGAAAACCAGAAGGTACAACAGCCGAAACGTTGTGATTACTACAACAATGAAGACATTAGTCCGAATGTAAATAATAAGTCCTCATTTCAAGTTGTATCTGCAATGTGAATAAAGTATATTCCCTGCCTACATACATCAAAATATCCTCCTTTTCCCGCCTCGCCCAAGATATATATATATATATATATATTTATATATATATATATATATATATTCAAACATATATTGTTAAGTATAACAAACAATGAATGTCTATTATGTTTGATCATGAGCCGTTCTAAACTCCGTATAGTTGCTTTAATTTCGGGGTAAAAGCAACTATACGAAGTTCAGAACGGCTCATGATTACATACGTTGTCTGTTATATTTAATAATATATGTTTGAATAATGATCTGCCCCCCCCAATACACTATATATATATATATATATATATATATATATATATATATATAAACGGCTATCATTTCCATGCCCAAAATAAAAATGTTTGTGTAGATCAATTCTCGTTAAAACAGGGATATATATATATATATATATATATATATATATATATATATATATATATATATATATATATATATATATAATAAATAAGTGCCTCGTCCACATTACTTGAATAAAATATTGTTTTTCTTCGTCTTAAAACGTATTGATCTTTGTTTCACTGCTTGCATTTTTGTGTGGATGTGCGTATTCAGTGTGTGTGTGTGCACGCGTGTGCATGCCGGTATGCATTGTTGGCGTAGAGAAAGTTACTCTTATGGTTCATTTTTCATGTAATAGATTCAAGTCTTTCGAAAGAATCCCTCTAAATAAAATACTGACTTTTTCATGAAGGGAGTTGTAAATTTTCAACCATGGCCGATGTGTCAAATTCCAATGAAATCTAGGATTTCCAATGCTGGTTTTCAAGCCAAGCAATCATGTACCACAATATAAGTTTTCTCATTCTCTTGACGCAACATAATCTTTCTACTTTTATCTAACAACATAATCTTTCTACTTCATCTACATTTCTGACAAGCTTAGCAAATATCCACACACGCACACTCGGGGACACACACACACACACGCATATATATTTATTTATTTATTTATTTCAGGATATTAAAACAGCATATAAAATCGCTACACAATTGCAGTTATGTTTCCATATATACCAAAGCGTCGCCTCAGCCAAATTGTAAATTACTGACAAGTCAACAATTAATTTGGTTTCAAAAGTAAAATACATCTTATTTTTTGAAAAACAAAATGTATTTCGTCAGGTGGCTAGGTCTCCCATCTGACCTAGTCACCTGACGAAATCTTACGGTCGAAAACAAGGTAGTGCGGAAAGATCTAGTATTTTACCTTTTTGCATATATATATATATATATATATATATATATATATATATATATATATTACCTTTTGTATTGCTCTGCATGTTCATTTTTCTGAACACTGTATTGAGCACTTTTTTTTTTTATAAGTGCGTTTATTTTGTCAAGTTAACTTTTCCGGCCTTCTCACATTTATATATATATAAGTGGACAATGATAAAATATAGTTTTAGGGTATGCTAAAGTGCCCAATATCAGGGATAGAGCGTATGTAAATATAAAAGTGCACACACACACACACACATATATATATATATATATATATATATATATATATATATATATATATATTCCTCAAATTTCTAAGTGACACCCTCTCGTTCTTGTTTCTCTCTCTCTCTCTCTCTCTCTCTCTATATATATATATATATATATATATATATATATATATGTAACTATATTCATCTTAAATATTCGTGCAGGTACTGATTGTGGATACGTATGCATGAGTTTATTTTTTCTCTCTCACAAACACACGTTCTCTCTCTCTCTCTCTCTCTCTCTCTCTCTCTCTCTCTCTCAATCTCTCTCAATCTCTCTATGCATGTGTGTGCGTGTAAAAATTAAGTTCATCGATGCACCTGCTGCTGTAGCTTCTCCTTGTGCGTGTTGTCATAACAACACTGACGTCACAGCCGCCCAGTCCACAGACTCTGTGAAAAGTCTGTTGGTTTTTTGTTCGCTCTTCCAGCTTTTTGATTCAAGACCTTTTACCCAACTTTGACATTTATTAATTAAAAAAATAACTTTTTTCTTTGTCTCATATATCTATCTACCTAATGCAGTCTGCACACTATCTATATTGCAGTCTGCTCATTACTTATCTATCTATCTATTGCAATCTGCCCATTTTACCTATCTATCTATCAATCTATCTATTTTGGTCTTTTCGTATGCACCTATTTCTCTCTCTCTCTCTTTCTCTCTCTCTCTCTCTCTCTCTCTCTCTCTCTCTATCTATCTATCTATCTATCTATCTATCTAAATATATATATATTGCATTCTGCTCATTGTCTATCGATCTATTTCAATCTGTTCTTATCTATTTATTTCTCTCTCTCTTTATCTATCTATCTATCTATCTATCTATATGCGGGTCGTGATTGCCATTCATAACCACTTTTAAATGCATATATCCATCAAATTGCTATTACGTCATTGGCTAATTTGTAATTTGCATAAAAAACTTTTGTTCATGGGTACTTTAATTAAGTGGACAATTATATCTATCTATCTGTATATATATATATATATATATATATATATATATATATATATATATATATATGGATGAATTGTCTAAATTACGCAAAAATGAAACCACGGCCACCAGACGAATCTCCTGCAACCCTTCTGGACGGTCTTCTTGTTTAAGTTGGTGAATGCTGTCATAATTCTTGGCTTCAGTTCATCTCTCGTGTTACAAGGAGTTTTGTTAATCTCTCGCTCAATCGTGGTAGCCATACAGTGGCCTAACATAATTTTTTAGCCAGGAGAAATACACTACATCCAATTTCAAAATGTAATTACGTAATCCGAACTCAACATAAATAAACAGTATTTGGAACTAGTATGGAGTAGGTCCTCCATTTGCTAGTTTCAGTGCTTGTATTCGATTTTTCATGGATTTGATCAAATATCAACAATCGTCTGATCCATATTTTGCCACTCCTTTAGCAATGTTTATTTAAGGGTTGCCACTGACGTGATTTTGGTTGCACGCTCTCGAAGCGTTTCGGTGAAGGTGCTCCCAAACGTGCTCTATTTGAATCCATGTCAGGACTTCGGGTTACCCATCGCAGTAACTTGATTCCTTGCGATTCCTTCCAGGCCTTTGCTCGTATGACATGACCCTCCATCTTCTTGGAAAAGATAGACATTCTTGTCAATCTGATTGGTTTCAAATAGTGGGAGTAGACAGTATTTTGGACTATTCAAACGCTCGTCAACAAGAATCAGCTAAGATTTCCCCACACCATTATTCCAATCCCTCCATGTTTCACAGTCGCCTGCAGACATTTCTGATTCTGTCTCGAATTCGAATATTGGCATAATTTACTTTCATCTGATCAAAATCCATAATCTTTGCTCTCGAATTCTCTCACCCAGTCCATGCGCCTGTTCCTGTTAATCTCTGAAATCAAGGGATTCTTTGATAGCCTACCTCTTTCAGAGTCTTTCTCACCGCATATAGCAACATTTCCATATTGTTGGCGACATTTCCATGCTGTTGGCGACATCTTTGACGCTCTGACGACGGTTTCTGGACTTCCGTCTTCAGCGCCTTTGCATTCCTCAGACATGATGCTTGGTCTTCTGAACTTTGTTCCACAAGTCAATGGCCTTCTTCATTAAATTTCTTAACAATATTATTAACCGTTTGATGATTAACCTGGAAAAACCTCGCAATTTCTCTATTTGACTTGCCACACTGATGCTATCCTATTATTTGCTCTCGTTAAAATTCACCAATTTCTTTACTTGTGCAAACTTTCTTTGGAAAATATAAGTCAACTATCGCTCATAAATTGCAGTAGCTTGATACTAACACGATATTGTCTGAAAAAAAAAAGAACAGGCGTTATTACACAAGTTAAAATTGCTGTAATCAAGGGTGACTAAAAACTTATCATGGCCCACTGCATAAGAGGTGATGTGGTCGCAGAAATTGTCTAACAGCCATGACTGTGCTCTCCTGTTTGTGTGACATGATATAGAGACCTGTTGCCAGATATAGGGTCTTTCAGCAGTTGCCCTCTTGACCCAGGGCAGCACTACCTCCTCAAGGAACTTGATGTAGGCCTCCATGTTGAGTCTGAGGCCCTTACCAATAAATTCTGAAGTTCTTATCTTATCAGAACGATTAGAGTGATCTTTTCGAGCTGTCGTATCTTCTTAATCTTCTTAGATGTTGGGCTTAAGAAAAATTGCATCTTTTTATTTTAGGGGTGTTAAGATTTAACTTATTTAGAAAACTGATGTATCTAATGTATTGTTGTTAACAACTCGGTCAAGTCAAGCTTGGACATTCCCATGTCTTCAAATCTGTAAATCATCTAATCTCGATTTTAATGTTTTTTTTACAATTCTATATGTTCTAACTATTATGGGACCGAATTTAATCGTGTTTTTATCAGATCCCGAGTGTGGGCCTACTATTTGTTTTTATAATTATTCCTTTTCTTTCATCTTCACCCTGTGTTCCATGGCAGATATTTTTTTCCTTAATTAATAAATGCGGTCTTCGAACTGAAATGAAAGTGTCACTTCGCATGTCAGGTTTCAATGTACCAAATTATTCAGTTTTCAATTGGTTAATGATAACTGTATTTATACTCCAACTACTATCCTCACATTTGTTGTTATTATCAAAACATTTCTACCGTTATGCCTTCCAGCCATCATCAGATGCTTGTCGATCCGTGTATATAATCTGCCGGGGTAATCTGCTGTCCATGTCTGGAGATAACTCGTCTTCTTTTTATTTTAGTACTGCTCAATGTGGAGGCCTATTTTAACACAGAAGACACATGAACCAGTTCGCTAGTATTCTTGATTTGTGGATTGCTGCGTTTTCTTTCTGGAAGCGGTCACCAGAGGTTCGACGCACTGTAGTCATAAACTGAGGTAACGTGGTCAGTCACAATACCTAGATAGTCTGCAGCATTTAAACAATATTTTATTAATATCAAGGCCGCTTCAGGAACGAAGCCATACTTTCATGTTGTTTACGGCAAATTCTGTCCCGGCCCGACCATCCGAATGCCACAGCAGAAATCGAGACTCATCAGACCAGGCAACGTTTTTCCAATCTTCTATTGTGCAATTTGTTTTGTGATCCTTAGCGAGTGGCATCCAGCGTGGTCTTGTACATCTATAGCCCATCTGCTTCAAGGTTTATCGTATTGTGCGTTCAAAAATACTTTTCTGTATACTGCCGTTGTAAAGGGTGATTATTTGAGTTATTATTGCCTTTCTATGAACTGGAATCAGTCTGGCTATTCTCCTCTGAACTCTTTGATCAATAAAGAATTTCTGCCTAAAGAATTGCTACACAATGATTTTTTTCCTTTTTCTGACCATGATGCAAACCTGCTGCAAGGTTTGATTAATTGATTTGTTTTTTTTTTAATGACTTATCAAGCCTGTGTGGGTTGTTTAAAGCAAAAAAAAATTGGATTGTAAAATTTTTTTTGAATGAATATTGCATTAATAATTCTTTTGAGAGTATCAATTTTTCCAGATACAAGTTCTGCTATTTAACCTATAGCTGGAGGAAGGAATTCATACCTTTCCTAAAAGTATTTGTATATAAATGAATATAATGAACACTACTGGAATTTGAACTTGGCTCTCCGATTTCACATTCCAAGACAATATCCATTACTCTACCCACACATCACTTCAAGGTTCGATATGTTATGCAATCAGAGATGCTCTTCTGTATACTGCCATTGTTAAGGGTGGTTATTTGAGTTATTGTTGCCTTTCTATCAACTGGAACCAGTCTGGCCATTCTCCTCTGATCTCTTTCATAAATAATAAATATCCTCCCACATACCTAACTCTCACGAGATTTGTTATCTTTGTCTGACCATTCTCTGTAGATGCTAGGGATGGTTGTGCGCCAACAACCTAGTAAATCAGCAGTTTGTGAAATACTGGCAACAGCGACAATACCACATTCAGACTTAAATCACTTATTTCCCATACTAATGAATGAAATGAAATTTAGCAGGTTGTCATAAGCACGTTAAAATGCATATATCCATTAAATTGTTGTCAAGTCTTTAGCTGATTTGAAATTTGCATAAATCATTTGTTCATGGGAACTTAATTAAATGGAAAATAATATATATATATATATATATATATATATATATATATATATAAGGTACTTTGGATAAATCATCATCTGAATTACGCAAACATTAAAATAACACTGACATCTTATTTTAACAGATATACCAAAATTACACAAAAATATCTTGAAATACTGAAGAGTAAAGTTATTCAATAAAATCGCTATTGACTTCAACCACGGACTCGAGACCAATTCGAAATCTCCTGCAAGTCTTCTGGGTGGTTTCTTTGTTTATGTTGGTGAATGCTGCCATACTCCTTGCCTTCAGTTCATCCTTGGTGTTGCAAAGAGTTTTGTTGGTCTCTCGCTCAACTGCAACCCGCGCATAATAATCAAGGGTGTTGCAAAGAGTTTTGTTGGTCTCTCGCTCAACTGCACCCCGCGCATAATAATCAAGGCGGGGGGTTGCAATCTGGGGAGTTAGGTGGCCATATGTAAGGAGTGATCTGGTCGCGGAAATCGTCTGACAGCCATGACTAGGTTCTCCTGCTTGCGTGGCATAGTGCAGAGTCCTGTTGCCAGACATAGGGTCTTTCAGCAGCCTCCCTCTTGAGCCAGGGCAGCACTACCTCCTCAAGGTACTTGATGTAGGCCTCCCTGTTGAGTCTGAAGCCCTCTGGAAAGATGAATGGAGGCATAACGTCGCCATCACTAGTGATCACTCTAAACACCTAATCTCCCTTAGACTTATCCAACTCTTTTTGAATCCTCTGCACTGTCCTCAGATTGACACCTAAACACTCTGAAATGTTCGTATTAGAGCTTTCGGCGCGAATGCCAAGCAGTACAACATGCCGTTTCAAAATTTCTGGCGGAGTGAGTTGTTTCATGGTGCTCTCTTTCTCACAGACAGCACTCAATTAACCCTATTATACTGTGCAGTTGACGAAATAAAAAAAAACGCGCATGCGCGAAGTAATTAATATAAAATGGCGACAATTTACCCATCGCACCTATATATATATATATATATATATATATATATATATATATATATATATATATATATATATATATATATTCCAAACCAAGAACGTGTACATACAGCTTGGCAATCTGACAACAATCGAAATATATAAGTTTATTTATAGTTATACATAATCACATCTAATCTAACAGCGGCGATTGAGTTTCGACTAAAACTACGGTATTTTTGGAAGATAACATTTTTAAGACGAATATTCTTTGTAATTAATTATAGGTCTTCAAAGTTACGAAGGTTTCATTAAGATTTGACAA